TCAGTTCCCAGTATAAGAAACAGTGTGTAGCCCCAGAAAGTACACCATGAATATTTATTAAATGAGCAAATGGAAAGTTTACTTAAATACCATACAAAAAATGGCCAAAAGTCTACATATATGTATTCCAAACATCTAAATGGCCTCCTGAGGTTTTTATTTTCTGAAGAATTTGATATTTTGCTCAAAAATCTAATCCATATTCATTTAGTAAAACAACTTTTTGTTAGTTAGCCAGTTCCTTTTCCTGTAAAGAATTAACAAAATACGACAATTTCTTTTATTTTTTTGGTACCGGGGCTCGAACTTGGATCCTTGTACTTGCAAGGCAGGCCGCTGAACTGCTGAGCTAAATCACTGGTCAAAATACAACTATTTCTTACTTCTTTTTCTTCTGTAAACCCATTCCTGCAAAAATATGTACAGAGCCCCAGTGAAATGTTTTTAAATTAGGCCTGTTTTAAGTGAGTAATGATATAGAATTATTTATACAAAATGAGAGAATTTAAGCTCTTTTTCAGGCTGCCCTCACTGGCAGAGTTGGTTTCACCGAGGAGGAACTTGTGCCATGAGAGCTGGGGGAACATCTGAGTCAGAGCCCTGACTCACTGGTCTGTGGAGGTATTTATTGGATGGGCCTCTCAGATGACCAATTTAAGTAATATCCATTGTTTTTCTTTTCTCAGTATCCACCTCAGAGAATTCTCATTTCTTCCTTGAAACCCTGGATCCGCAGCTGTCATCAACTTGTTAAACAAGTTCCCCTTCAATTGCTTTCTGGTACTGTGCCCAGCCCTTAAAATCTCAACGATGCTTGCGGTTAGCACATTTACCTGAGAACCACCGGTCAGAACGAATGGAGTGCAGAAGTTTCCCGTATCTCTGTTAAGAGCAGCAGCCATTACATCCACACATCATGTACAGGTAAGTGGAAATTTGCTTGCTTGAAATTCTGACAGAAACTGAGTTAACACTGTTCCCTCAACCTGATTTCCACCCCAGGGTTGCAGCAAAGCAGTTGAATTCAGGCAGGAAATATGCAGTTTTCCCACAGGGTTTTGGATTTTCTGCATGGAGACCACCTTGTCACAACCATGCATTGGTATTCAGAATCTATACAAAATACGAACAATTAAATAATTAAATCATTATTTGGAGAATGCTTCAGGAAGAGCTTGTGAAGCTTAATCTCCTGTGAATTAAAAATGGTGTAACCGTGGGACTATTGTGAACTGGTGAGGAGGTAGAAGAGACAACATTTTCTGCTCAGAAATCAAATGTGACTTGTTAATAGTGATAGAGACCATGACTTCCTAGTATTTGTTTAACATCTGGTGTTTTCTGCAGAGCTTTAATGAACCTTACAGTACCACTGCTGTGCAGATGTTTTCTACAGAATCACATGAAAATCCTGATATGTTTACATAGTATGTGTTCATGAACCAGAATACTAAAGTTATGCATAGGCACATGCTATCGCTTTTAGAGTAGATAATTATGACAACATTTTAGGAAGATGATTTCAACTTGCAAGAAATTTTCAAAATATATAAAATGTATCCAAATTAACTGAATTTAATCTAAAATACTTAATATTCAGATCAATGTATAACTGATAAATATTTCTCTAACATGTACAACATTCAATATACGTATTCAGGTGAATAGCTGAGCCTTCATTACACAAGCAAATAGGAGATATGCACATATTGACAATATCAGTGTTCATGTGACTCATGACTAGAAAAGGCACACTCACTGTGATCAAATATATTAGGGTCATTTTTTCTTGAATTAAAATAAACAGTTATGTGATTTCTTTTTCATTAAAGATGTTAACCCTGTTTTGCTATTGTTCACATCTTTCATTTATAAATAATGATACCACCTGCCTCACGAGCACAATGTCCCGAGTTTGACCCCCCAAAAAGTGATAAAAGTGGAAAGTAAAAGCATGATTAATTTGTTCTGTTTTGCCCATCAAATATTCATCACTTTTACGTTGAATATATGATATATTTTATTTTTATGATTTATTTTACCTGTAGGGTAATTTCTCCTTCACTTTCACCATTTTACGCTTATATGAAAAATATCAAAGGATTAAGCCATTGTTTCCATGAACTCCTAGTTCCTTAGAACAAATTTGAGACCTGACTCTGAATATCTTCTCAGAATGAAGAATTAATCCAATTACACAGCTGACCTTGTAGGGATTTGGAAATGTGGCTGATTCTGCAGGTTTATTTGAGACCCTACTAAATTTTGTGGTTGCTTGAATGCTCAAAAGAAGAAAATAAACATTAGAATTGAAAGTAAATCTTTCAAAACCAAATTTTATAAATTTGAAATTTTTTCTTAGATCTACATTATCAAATGGGAAAAATTCGAGAAGAAAGCAATATTTATGATCCTTGCTAAAATAATTGAGAAGTTCAAGTCTAGGAATTTTTATAACAAGATATAAATTATATTCTGTGTCCTCCCAGTAATTTTTTGTGATTTTTCAGAAAAAATGATATGTGAATTATGAGAAATTGGCTAATAGCAGAGGGAGTTTTCTGCTTCAGAAGTATCTGTTATTTTTAGGCAACTATATGATCCTATGGTTCATAGGGGTTTAGGTTATAAGTTAAAGGCAACTAAAACCCAGAAAATCATCTGAGCTGTCTGATAAGAAATAATCAAGATGGAAAAAGGGGAAGGGAATAGAAACATAAAACCCTATAGTAATTTTAGTGAAATAAAATATTAGGGATTCATTCCATTCTTCTGTTTTCAAACTATAGTGCTGAGATGAATTCTAAAATATCTTTTTGATCACATTTTTTAAAATCTAGATTTTTTATTAAGAATATATTCTGAAAGACGTCTTTTGAGTTAAAGCCTTCAAATAAAACTAGTAAAAAAAATACCCTATAAATATATCACCAACTAAAAAATAAATAATTAGAAAAACAAGTAAACAGTAAAAGTTTAGTGGTTATGAAAGGGTAGAGGGGGTGAAGGGAAATCAGGGGAATGGGGAAAAAATAAGAACCAAGATGGATTATGTAAAGGTACAAGACCCCAAAGATGAATGTAACTGAATTATGTACCTAAAACAAATCAATAAACTTAAGTGAAAAAAAAAGTTCAGGGGTGACGGAAAAGTGAAGAAAGGGTGTGGTGTACCTTGCAGGAGCAAGGTTGTTTTGGTAAAGCAGAATGCTTATTTAACTAGGTAATCAACAATAGCTGGGGATTTAGCTCAGTGGTTCCACCACTTACCTTGCAAGCACATAGACCCTAGTTCAATTCTCAGTACCAAAAAATTTTTTTAAAAAAATCAACATTATTTTGAATTTGATAGTGAATAAATAAAAGCTTGTAATATAAAGGGTTGCAATACTGGCAGACATCAAGCAATAAGAATGTAAAACTGAGGAAGCATATAAAAATTTTAGTCACGGGCCAGGGATTTAGCTCAGTGGTTCTGCCACTTGCCTTGCAAGTGCAAGGTCCTGAGTTCGATCCCCTGTACAAAAAAAAATTTTTTTAGTCACCATTAGATTAGAAGTGACATTGTTAGTGTCACTGTTAGTCTTGGAAAGAGAAACATTAATTTCAGGCAATATTTTGCATAATAAACACACTAGTCTCTGATACAGTGATCCAGTTTCACAGGCTTCATTTTCCCCTGTCTGAGATGACACCTAAATTTATGCCCACACCCCTGGTTCCTCAGGTAACCACAATCTGAGAGTCTCAGTAATGTACTGGAAATAAAAGTGCCCTTCAACTTCAAGATATAAAGTCTTATAATTTTTTCTCTCCAAATCATATCATTTTACTTTCCCTTATTCCTGAGGTAAAATCTTTGTCATCTTTATCATAGTTCCAACCTTGAGGAATATAGTTAATTACCAAGTTTGGCAAATATTCTAACCTTGTACATTTCTCGAATTCCTTGCTTTCTTTTCATTTATAGTACTAAGCATTTCATTACTTCATTTCTAAGGATTATACTAGTGTCTTATCTTGCTGGTCTTCTCTTTTCTTTATAATGTGATCATGCATATGTACGCATATTCCTTTCCTAAGCACTATAAACCCTCGTGTTGGTCATTGCCACAGGATGAAGTCAAAACTGTTTGGCCCAGCTCTGAAAGCTTTACATTGTCTGGATTCCTCTACTCTGCTTACTCTCCAAAATGGAGCTGTCCTTCATCCTCCTTGTCTCTCTTTTACTCCTGATAATCACAAATTATCTACAATGTTAGGCACCATGCTATGTTCTGGATATAAAAACAAGAAATGGACCACACCATGTCAGTGACTGGAGCTGAAAGGCTGACACACAAAAATTTAAAAGCAATTCTGAATGTTAGGTCATAATGGCACTGACTGAAGAGGACATCGATGAAGAGGAGGTGACGAAGTAAAGTGGTGAAGTTTGAGGGCAACTCAGTGGGCAGACTGAAAGTGTGTGTTGGGGCACAAGGAGCAGGTTGTGCAAAGACGTGGAGGAGTGAAGGAGTCTGGTGAGTTTATAGAAGCCTGAATCATTTGAAATGAACACAAAGTATTCAAGAATGCAATGAGATGGAAGAGGATTCAGAGCAGCATAGAGCAGAGGCAGTGGTAGTTTACTTACATTAATGTGAGGAAAGGGCAGACCGTGGAAGTACCCAGGATTCTGATTCGGGTCACTCTCCAGTCACACTTGAAGAAGCCCAAATGCCGAAGTCACAATCCCAACAACTTTGTGTGGTATCACAAGTCATTCTTGTTGTGAGCTCTGTGTCAGTCAGTCAGGGCTTCCCAGAGAAACAGCTACTAGGAGATGGAGACAGAGACACAGACTGGGGCAGATACGGATAGAAGTAAATCTATATAACCACATATACTTAAATTTACCTATAAACATGTGGACACAAACATACATGCAAACCCATGAGCACACATGGAGATCTATTCTAAGGAACCAGTTCTTGCAGCCGCGAGGATGGCAAGTCTAATGGCCATAAAAACGACTAGCAGCCTGGGAACGGAGGCAGGATTTCAACGTGATGATCATAAGGTAAAATTTCTTCTCCCAAACACATCAGCTTCTGCTCACAAAGCCTTCCACTGATTGGGTAGGGCTCACTCAAACTATCAGAGGTAATCTTCAATTAACTAATTGCAAGTTTAATCACAGCCATGGAAACTTTTCACAATGCCTAGATCAGTATTGGACCAAACAGCTGAATGCCAGAGTCTAGCCAAAGCTGACAGTTCACATAAACCATCAGGCTCTCCAATTTCTTCTTTGGCTGATTTATGACTCATTGCTACAAAAACAAAATGAATTTCTGATCATTCCTACAGCATTTCACATGGTTCCTCCTTTCCTGTTTTATTTTTTGGGGGGTGATGAGGGTTGAGGCAGGGTCTCCTTTTGTAGTTCAGGCGCTGGTCCTGAACTCACTATGTAGCCCAGGCTGGCCTTAAACTTGATGTGATCCTCCTGCTTCAGCCTCCTGAGTGCTGGGACTTACAGGCATGTGCCATCACACCCATCTGGTTTCTTCTTTCTAAACTGTCTTCCATTCTTCTTTGACTGGGATATTTTTACAGATCCTTCTCAAAACTTGAGCTGAGGCTGTCAACCACTATTAGCCACACGAAAAAGCAAAAAGATGTAACTTACTGTAGATTAATCAGGGAACACTTTAAAGATTCCTTGGACCCACTGTAAAAAACTAATGAAACACATATACACTATCTTAACCCATATAGCACTCTGTATTTGTGTTTTCTTTGTATATAAGACCATAATAAAGAATATAGGATCATGCTCATGCTTTAAAAATTTGTGATGGGCTTAGGTATAATGAATGTCTAAGGCATTTCCCCCCAAGCCCTGGGGGCTGGCAAGATCTTCACTTATTGATCCTGACTCTGCTGCTGTCCACGGACTCTTGAAGGAAACTGATCTTGAGTACCGGTAAATGGACACCAAACTCACACCCTGGAAAAGTGATTCCATAGTATACACCCAGAAAAATGGGCTGAATCTCAAAACACAAGTTCAAGCATAAGCTTTTAGGGCAGCACTTTCTCCCCATCCTCCTTTCCTTCTCTCTTCCGCCTGTTCTCTTCCTTCCTGTTCCCTTCCCATATCTTTTGCCACTACTGTGCCAAATTGTGGAGCTTTTAGGGTATGAGAAAGAGGAGAGAAATGCAGATTTGAAAAGACTGTGATTTTCATATTCATATTTTTTATTGGCAGACCAGTCACAGCTTCCCGCACATCGATGCCACTATGGATAGTTGCCCTCATCGTGTTTGGAGTGTTGGCAATTCTGGGAATAACTATTGGTCTCCTGGTTCGTTTTCTGTCAGTAGGTTGGTATGCACATATATACATATATATATATATATATATTTAATTAATTTTGTTGTAATCTTTATTTCCATTTCCATCAAAGATAAAAGTAGGTTGGTGCACATATATACATATATATATATATATATATTTAATTAATTTTGTTGTAATCTTTATTTCCATTTCCATCAAAGATAAAGATGCAACTGAAAACTCTCTTTACATTGACATCAGTGATCCCAGGTCCTAGAAGTAAGCATTATTCATATTTGCTCCACGGTGGCCTGCCTTGCAAGCGCAAGGACCCGAGTTCAATCCCCGGTACCAAGAAAAAAAAAATTTGCTCTATACTCTATTTCAGATATCTTGAATATATACAGGTTGAAGTGGGAATCCATTCAGATTTGTGCCTGAATACACACATCATTAACTGACAGAAAGGATAACTTTACATGGACAGTCCTACACGTACTATTTTATAATTAAGCTATCACACTTACACTACATGAAGAAGACAAATAAATATTGAATTTCAATTATTTCTTCATATCAAAGACTTCAGCATAAAAATTCCTCCTATGTACAGTTTTAGAAAATATTGAAAAGTGTAAAGAAACTTTGAGTCATTTTCTAAAACAATTTGTTTTATTTTAAATTATATCACTCACATGCTATTATAAAATTTTAAAATTAGCATAAATGTACTTATTAGCTTTTGCTCACATTTTCCTCTGTTTTGCTAGCAAAACATTTTACATTAGTCAAAGTCTTAACACTTCATTCTGGTTTACAATAAAAATTACTATAGTTGTTAAAATTTTAATGTGTATTTAGATGAAGTATATGCTCACCATCAATATTTTTCCACATCTTTGCCATACTTGAGTGTTTTCTATTTTTTCCTTCAAAGGTTGTCATAACTATAGTTTAAAGAGTCAGTCAATTTTTAATGACTAACTCAGCCCTTCATCCATAGCCTCTATCTTTTATTTGTCGAGAAAGCACTTTCAACTCTCTCAGGCCATTCTTGATGTTGCTATATCTCTATTTATTTTTACTTATTTGCATTATCTATTCACTTTGTACTATAGTAAGCGAGAATTCTATATTCATTCATACTCTGGCCAGAATGGTCATTTTAGGATTTCTTCTCAGAAAGAAAAGCATTGTAGGATTAAACTTCAGCCACATATTGATTTTAATCTTCTAAAGGCTGAATTTCCTACTTCCTTTTTATTATTTTTTTCATTCAGTTGTAGGGGAGTGTGTGTGTGTGTGTGTGTGTGTGTGTGTGTGTGTGTGTGTGTGTTTTCCAGGATTTAGAAAAGGGTTATGATGGGAAGTATACATTTTTGACAAATCACTTGTCTGAAATTATATTAATATCACCCTTAACCTCAACTATAATACTGTATTGAATTCCAGTTGTAAAAAAATTCCCTCTGAATTTTGCCACTGATGTTCTATTGCCTTCTTGTTTTTAAAATTCCTATCAAGAAATCTAAAGACATTGTGATTTATAAATTTTTAAGTGACACTTTTCCCTATCTCTCACCTTTTGAAATTTAATTAGGTTTATGTTCATTGTACACATTGTTTTGAAATTTCATGGCAATGTAGCATAGTCTAAATATCTTTTCATTAATTGTGATGGCATATAGTTGGTTATTTCAATTAGAAAATTCATATACTACCGTACTCCCTGGAAGTTTTCTTACATGATTCCATTGATAATTTTTTGTCTTCTACCTTTTCATAAACTTCTGGTAGTGTTGATATGAGCCCCCTTAAATGGGTCTCTAATTTCTTTACATTTGCCTTTTTATTTTCCCACCTTCAGCCTCTTTAAAAAAATAAAATCACTTTCTTAAGTTTATTTTCCAAATATTTCATTTAATTTTCTATTATATTTAATTCTAAAATATCCTTAAAATATTATATATTTTTAAAATAAAATAAAAAAATAATAAAAATGTAAAAAATATTATATATACACCTTGATATTTTTCTTACAAAATCTTTGAGTATAATAATGGCTGATAATGTCTACTTCAATAGTCCCTTCCCTCCAAGATTTTGTGTGCTTATCTAGTCATGTTTCATGATAGATGCTCTGATCTTTTGGCGTTTTTAAACATTTAATGTTTGGGTTTACAAAGAAGGCTGAAAGGCGTGTGTGTGTGTGTGTGTGTGTGTGTGTGTGTGTGTGGTTGTTTTTTGATAATGGCTTTTACCATAGCTGACCTATCTAAGCTGTTTCATTGAGAGAATCCAAATTACCACTATGTTTAGATCTTGTCTTGCATTGGTCAGGATTCCCAGGAAGAGGAGAAACCCTCTCATCTTTTGCATGCATGTAATAGTGGTGTGTAGTTCTCTGTAGACAGCTTGGGAGGAGGAGGCCATACAGAAATTTAGCACACGGTGCATCCAACTTCAAATGTCTCAGTCTCCTTGAACTAACGGCCTTAGTAATTGGGGTGGACACTAGGATCCAGCTGTTTTAACCAGTCTTTCTTCTTGCCTTTTGCCATTTAGGATTCTTTGGTTTAAAACAGCACTTACATTTCCCACTGCTATCTTGGGGTTCAGGCTTTTTGTCTCTTTCCCGCCTCCAGGTTCCGTACAACTGCTGTTGTTTCTTCTTCTCTTACTACTTCTTTGTGGGTTGACTTTAAAACTAACACTCAAGCACTTTTCCTGTCATTTTTAAGGGGACTTTGGAAAAGTCACCTTGAGATACAGTATTAGCTAAACCTAACATCTTTAATTGAATATTCTTGATAATTGAATTGTATGATTAATGTCCAGGGTAACAATACCTGTATATCTGCTTGAAGTCATTATTTTAAGGTTTCAAGCAGCTGGAATTTCTTAGAATTTACATATATTAAGTAATAATAGTGAATAAAAAGTTGTTTACACTATTTGTTCCTTAGAAATTATTTCATTATCTTTTTTCAGAGCAAAGATCCTGAAAAATGTCTGTTCTATAAATGTAAATTATTTTGTCCTTGTTTTTTTACCTGAATAATCCTAGGCTCTATCCTTTGGATTCACCAATCCAGGTCTATCTTAATACATTTATCCTTAAATTTTTCACAGAACATAATAGACCATTTTGAAGCTGCATATTCAGATTTGTTTCTTCAAGTTTTCTTTCAGGAGCATCAGTCATGTATTTGTTAGATCTGCTTTGTTTTCATGTTATTCTTAAATTTTCCTTTCCCATTTCATTTTGTTTGTTTTGCTCAAGCCTGTCCTGTATGTCACACTATTTTGAATCTATATATCCTTTCCAGTATGTCTCTTGCCTCTGACTTCCATTTATTTAGTGAATTCTGTAGTTTATTTTTCTTCTTCATTGAACTGTTGTATACTGTTGAGTTCTTTTGTCTACAAAATCTTCAAGACCTTGGGAACTAGTTGCTGAAACTCATCCTTTGTTCCACTGATAATTCCTGCTTTTATTTCAATGTCCTTTCCCCTTTTGACTATAGCATCTGTGTACAAGCTCCCTATGGGAAGCTTTGTAATTATTAGTCACTTTCTGTGATTTGGTTCACGTTTTTGTTTTTTTTTTTCACATGGTTTTTAAACAATTCCATGGGATATAGGGCTAGAAGTGGGTTATAGAATTGGAAAGCTTGCAGCTTATATAAAGTATTTTTGTCCCATGCATTCACTTATCACATCTTTTATTTTGTTTTTGACCTTAAGATCATTTATCTTCAACTTTGAATGTGTAAGAAGCTGAGGGGCCTTTGAGGAAAGTGCTCTAATTTGCACACTCTGAATTATAACACATTGATCCCAGCCCCCCAACTTTTAATCCCAGCTTACCTCCAGCAGGTTGCCCTAGCTGGAAAAGTATTTCATATGTAATAAAAACAGCACACTAGTATTGTTTTACTTCTACCAGTCTACCTTATGAAAATAAATCTTTATGTAAATATTTTTTAGCTTTCCCTTCAGAACATGGTCTTATTATTTTAATTTTGGAGAACTTTCAGAAAAATCTGTATCTAGCTCCCCTTATGAAAAGCATCTTGATCTATATCATTTCTCATGTTAGTAGGCATTTCATAGTTTAGGACATGTTTTATCATAATTTTTGGTTCAGAGATGTGATTCTTTTCTTTAGTTCCCTTGGAATTAAGCCTGCTACTTTTGTATTTTCTCCTTTTTCTGGGCTTAGAGATAGGAGATGTAGAAGAAAAAATTTACTTTGTCAACCTTAAATAGAAGTCTCATAACATTTCATGCTTAAATCCTGTCACTATAGCTACACCATTCTTTTTTTTTTTTTGGTACCAGGGATTGAACTCAGGACCTTGCACTTGTGAAGCAGGCTCAGTGTCACTGAGCTAAATCCCTGGCCCTTGGAGCATTTTTTAAAAAATTAATTTTATTGGTACATTTCAGGTATACAATATAATTGCATCCATCATTGGAAATTTGTACCTTTACACAATCTATCTTGGTTCTTATTTTTTCTCTATGCTACCGCAACCCTTCAAGCCCTCCACCCCTCCTTCTTTTCATTTTCTCATATTAATTCCATTGCCTTCTTTCCTTTCCCCAATTCCTCACACTTTCCTTTCCACTTTTCACCTAACAGTACTTACTATTCCTTTTGATCCTTATTTATGATTTCAGTTTCTCACACCAGAGATACTATTGTGTTTACACGTGTGTGCTATTTACTTTACTTAAGAGTGTTGCCTCAGTGTCCATCCATTTAACTATAAAAGTCTCTAATTTTTCATTCTTTATAGCTGAGTAGTATTCAATTTTATGTTTAAAAGAAAGCACACATTTTCCTTATTCAGTCTCCTATTGATGGGAATTTGGGCTGTGTCCAAGTTTTAGCTATTACAAATTGTGCTGCTATGAACAAGGTTGCACTTATCTTATTGAGGTATGATTCTACTTTTGGGAAGATACTCAGTAGGGAAATAGATGGTCAAATGGGACTTCTATCCTAGTTCTTTGAGGTATTTTCGTATTGCTTTCCACA